AGTGATCCCAGAGCTGTTAAGCATTTGTGTTCTGATGTAAAGAATATTATTATGTAGAGGAGACAGTTAAGTGTTATTGAATCCAATTCCTGTTTCAGTCCATTATATTAAATAAAAATACTGTCACACATTCTTGTTATTGTCTGTTTTTTCATCAAGTGTTAAAGAATAACATTATTCAGGATGTTGTAACATGTTTGAACCTGAACAGGATGAGACAGAGGCAGATCTGGTAGCAGTAGCAGCTGCACTGGCCTCATCTGACCGCAGATTAGATAAACTAATGGATGTGTGAGAATAAACCTTTATCTGTAATCATTGCGGTAGGAACTGATAGTCTGTACTTGTTTTAATACAGCAATTATCTTGGGACCACACTGCTGGTATTGTCATCTCATAGGAAAACCACTTCAAATACTAGAAAGCGCAATATTTCTATTCTTTTTTATATCATCTTTGTTGTTCACAACCAAACAACAAATGAAGATCTGAAACGTGCTCTCTCATCAACTGTATGCACGCATTTGCAGGCACCTCTAACTTTTGCCCTTATTTTGTGGCAAAAATAAATAAATACAAAAAATACATGTCTTTGATTTTTTTTTAAACCTAAATTACAACAGTTAGAAATGTTTTTGTCTTAAAGTTAGGCTGTGTAATAATTTCCTATAAATTGTTAGGTTATTATGACCTGAACTAATATGTCTTACAGAAATTATTGTATATACCGTCTTATAACATTATACCATTATATCTTATAACAAAACTATAGCACGTTATGGCTTGTTAAAGTTAGACCGCTCATAACGACCGAACTGACAGCGGCGCCCTTGTTTTCCTACTGCACCTGAATGCAACACATATTATCGTCCTCTACTGCGACTGCGCGGACCGAGTCTGGCGGAAAGCACACGGTTGTTTTGGTGTCCGCTCGCCCAGAAGCGTCTCCTGTCAGACTTTAAACGTTAAAGGACAGTCTCCCGGAGCACCTCCAACCCGAACTATGCTGTGTCCCAGCCCATGAGACCGACGGTGTTCCGACTGAAAGACACACATTTTGTTAATTTGTCCATTTACCGGTTGTTAGCCGTTAGCTTCGCGGGCTAAAATCTGCCAACAAGTTGGGATCAACAACAACAACAACAACAACAACAACAACAACAACATCATCATCATGGACTGCACGGCGCTGGAGCTCGATGCTGTTAAATTTGCCCAAACAGCCGTCAGCTATGACCAGAAGGGCAAATACAACGAGGCCGTGTTTTATTATAAGGTAGGAAACATTCACTTTCACTTCCATAAAGCAGCCTGTCAGTGTGGACGAAACAGGCACAAAACATCTCATTTATAACGAATACATTCACTTTAACACATTAGTTAGACATTCATCTTCAAAGTCACAGTCAAAGTCAGCTTTACTGTCAGTTACTTCACATATAAAGTAACTCTGCCACCAGGAATGAAACAGAGAAAGTGCACAGGTAAAAGATAAAAGACAATAAAAATATACAATAATGTAGAAGATACAATATGCAATACTTATGGTACAGTTGGTAATGGCAGCAAAGAAATGATTTAACCTTCTGTAAGATATATTTGAACATTAACAGTGCAAAAGAACATTCAGGGAAAACAGTAAACAGCAGCCGATAACAAGCAATAGACAGTTTGTTTGTTTGTTTTTGGGTGAAGGGGGGATGAAGAGACTGTGCAGGGTTGTATGGAGCACCAGTGATCTTCTGTTTAACATCGTCTGCTGGTGTTTGTGCTTACAGGAGGCAGCTCAGGCCCTGATATACGCTGGCATGGCAGGGTCCAAACTGGAGGGGATCCAGGACAAAGTGAATGAGTACTTGGATCGGGTCCAAGCCCTCCACAATGCCGGTAAGCTCACCTGATGAGAGACGCAGGTGCAAATGGATGATAGATTCAGGTGATATTGACATGATATCACGGTTTTCTTTCTTCACTTTCAGTTCATTTCTTTCGAGTCCTGTGAAATGAATCTGGCCCCTTTTAAATTAGACTGTTAAAAGACAAACACTACATGCTACTGGAAAACAAAAAGTTAACACCGATAACCATGAAAAAATACATTTCTATCTTTATTGTATGTACAGCGTTTGGCAGCTTCTATGTTAAATGAGCCACTGTTCACCTGAAGTTAGTATCCAATAGTATCTCAGTTAAATCTGAAACAGTTCTTGTGATTAGTAATAAGTAATGAATTGTTCAGGGCTGTTACTCAACTCATACGTTCTCATTTGCTGTCTGACTGCTTTTCTCCGTGACTCTGCTCGCACTATGGGTGTGACCACAGTGTCTCTGTTTAGCTGCAGTCAGTGGATGACGTTTAGCACCGTCTGAAGCTGTTTTCTGTGAAAGGAAAAGAGAACTTTTCTGAAACTGTAGTTGATTGTTTTTGATTCTCATAACATACAGTGAATACAGTTTTTCACATTACTTTTTGTAACCCTACCAGGAATAACTCCATTGTGAACCTGACTTTTAAAACCAAAGGAGTCTCCCCTCATTGATATGAATGTAGTGAGTCAGCACTGGAAATTAAAGATGTCCTGTTGTCCAATAAAAATAAAACCTGGGACACAAAGGTACAGTGTCTGGGAGAATTCCTGGACAGTAGAGAACGATTATAAATGAAATCATTATCTTTATGCGTCACATAATATAATTTAACTATTAGTTATCCAATCCAATCCAACTTTATTTGTTAAGCACTTTAAAACAACCAAAGTTGACCAAAGTGCTGTACAGATGGGAGAAGTAAATAAAGGAGGGCACAATCAGCCCTCACATGATGGCGGCGAGAGCAACTGACATTAATTAAAAATGACAGACAAGTCGTAACATGAAAAGACATAAAACATGAGTAAAAATAATAGCCACGCAATAAAAAGCAATCAAAGTAAGAAATTAAATAAAGTCGACATCTCGAGGTGTCAAAAGCCACGGAGAAGAGATGGGTTTTAAGAAGGGATTTAAAAACAGACAGAGAAGAAGAGGCCTGTTTAACGTGCAGAGGCAGATCATTCCATAATTTAGGAGCAGATATTATTAATATATTAATATTACTATTACTACACTACATCACACACACACGCTGATACACACAAAATCAAATTTGGTCAGTGTTACAGCCCTTTGTCAGACCCTCGTAGTGACTTTATTTTCTAAAAAGAGACAAATCTAGTGACTTATTCAGACCATCAGGGAGAAGGAGAGAAATATATTCAATCATACTGTAATTCATTCACATGCATTCTGCTCAGAGTCACTGCAGCGTCAGGGTCTCTACCTCTCCTCTTGTGCCGCGTGCAGGCTGTCAGTAGGTGTGGAGCACATTCGACCTTCTCTCTCACGCTTTCTGTTCGTTTAGCTTATTCTTAAATACTTGTTTTGTGCTTGTAAATATTTGAACAGTTTGTTCGATCTTCTCCCTCCCTTTGTAAATAATAAAAGTTTGAGTTTGTGATTATTTGGCTAAATGATAATAAATGTACATTTCCCTTGCCGTATACCAATCAGAAACAGGTTTGCATTTACACTGCAGTTTGCAGTGATGCATTTATTGACCGAACCAATGATTAAACGTATAATGAAAACAGAGTGAGTCAGTGACGTTACTGAATCCTATATTTATGAAACTTTATTCATTATGTCCAATTTGGAACAATGGTTGTTAAGTCTGGGACAGGTGAAAGTAGAATTCGGGAGAGTTGTGGGACGCAAAATATCAGAAACAACCTCTCAGTGTAACTCAATTAAATTCAGCAGCAGCACAAACTGCAGCCTCCTAAATGACCATACAGCTTCATCATCACTTAAACAGTTCCATTAGGCTTCCGTCAGTTCTGCCTTGATGGACCTAAAAAACTGGCCACTGAGTGCCACTTAAATATTGTTCAAAAGATTAAATTCAACCGTACCGTATGAATCGTGTCTGTGGCATTTTGGGTGAGGCAGACGAAAGACTGAACAGCATCAAACATCCTTTTTAAACCCAAGCAGCCATGATCGACTGAATTAGTTCCAGAAGCCAAACATGGATATAAAAAAACCTCTGTGGAAAAGATGCAACAAGCTACCCAAAATGAAAAGGGTCTTCCAGTTTCTTCATCAGAGTTATAACAACACTAACTGATGAGGAGTATTAGAAATCAGAAGGCTGAACGTCTGATTCTTAATTTGGGGACATGTTGACGTTTGCCACCCTCTGTCAGCACAGTGTCTCTTGTGTGTCCTAACCATTGCTTTGACTCCAGGCCAGGCACAGAAGATTGACCCGCTGAAGTCCCGGGAGCAGGTGGACCTGGAGCGTGCCCACTTCCTGGTCACCCAGGCCTTCGAAGAGGACGAGAAGGGGAATGACGATGAAGCCATTGAACTATATACTCAAGCTGTGGAGCTCTGCATTAACACGGTAGGTCTCTCACTCTCACTCTCTCAGAGACAGTGACTTTCACCTGATCTTCCCTCACAGATCTTCCCTCTCATTATTCCTGCTTGCTTCCACATTTGTCTCTGCTTCTGTGTTTGCGACAGTCTAACGAGACGTCGGACCAGGCGCTGCAGACCAAGCTGAAGCAGCTAGCACGTCAGGCTTTAGAAAGGTAAATGTTCCTGAACGTTAATGCTTGTTGTAGTCATGAATGTCCACCAGACAAGGCTGTGCCGTGACTGCATCACGTCTCCAAAACAGTTCCAATGTTAACTGGAAGCGTTTCAGAATTGGCGTGTCTTCAGTCGCCCTGTTCTTGAGCCAGATTTTGTGTTCTTTTGTTCATTTTTCTGTCATTTTGGCCTTCAGTTGCTCTTTTGTAGAAGGCTTCAAATGCAAATTTTACATTCTAAGGGATACATTTTCAGAGAAAGATAGCTAAAATAACTAATCAACACCCACTGGTTTATTTGTTAGTAAATTAGCAAGAACCACATTGCTTTTGTTTTCATTATAGGTCAATAGATGAATTTTGTCTTTTGTAAACTTCCACCCTTAACAAACTAAAACATTGTATTCAATATAAAAGATTATAAAGAGTATAGATTTGCTACATGACTGTCCAGATTTATTATTTCCTGAATGAACAGTCTCCACTATATCTTTCAGGGCGGAGGGTCTGAAAGAGTCCCAGGCCAAATCAACTCCAGCTCAGTCTCAGGACAGGACGGGGCCTTCTGGAAACAAACCCAGCAATGCAGGCAACTCTGGGGGACCGGTCCGCCAGTATTTCCCCCTCGGCCCAGACTTCAGCCTCCACGACCGACCACAACCCCAGCCGGTCCGGGCGGTCCAGTCCAGCGAGCCCCAGGGTCAGCGCTACACGTCTGAGGAGATCGAGGTGCTCAGGTGAGCCACGGGAAACTCTTTAGTACTGCTTTCCAATCTGGAAAAGGTCCTGGGGGAAAAAAAAAAATTACCCAAAGGTGTGAGAAATCAATTCCTGTAAATGTTTTAAATCTGCAGTGGAACTGAGATTGCTATGTGAACACTCACAGCCACCAGTACAATTTAGTTTGATCCCCGTGAATATGTGACTGTCAAAGGCTTTTAAATGTGGCCCTGAACGCAAATGATTCAGACTTAATGTTTTTTTAACCTAACTTTCTTTTCTTTAGAGAAAGAAAGGTTTATGTTGGACTAAAAATGTAGTTTTTCCCATCTTATGGAATATTCCACTGGTGTCTGTGGCACAGACTGACCTGTTTCCACCAAAATTAAAAAAGTAGTAGGTCATGTTTGAAAAGAATGTGAACTCTAAACAATCTTGTTAAAAAGGTAAAAGTGCAAAAGAAAAGAAGAAAATGATTTACTTTGGCGCCATCTGGTGGTGGTGTGATGGCCACTACACCCCAACAGAAAATAAAACATTCATCACACTAACTTTCTTTCTTTCACATCAACTCTTAGCTGCTTCTGTTGCACTAATCTTGTCCTTTTTAATTGTCAGGAGTACATCTACAATCAACGGCATAGCCTATGTGCCCTTCATGAGTGTGGACCTGAGGGAGAGATTCGCCTTCCCTGTCCCTTTCTCGTAAGTTTACTTTCCCTCATTTTATTTTTAAGGTCACACAGGCCAGTTAAAGATCAGCCTCACGTTTTGGATTTCACTGAGTTGTTCACTTTAGCAATCTGAATCTGTGTTAGCACTGTTTATTGTAACAAAGCTTCAAGTGAGAAGGATTCTGTAGTTCTGCTACCATATCTGTCATATCTCAGTTGAGGTTTAAGTCACTGACACAAAAAATGGAAAACTCAAAAAGGAAAAAAAGACCTGGGATGGCAACTTTTCCCACGTGGAAAGAGGTTTGTAAAGGTAAATTTGTTTTTAGTAATGTGATATCTATATATTTTGGGCCTTTTTAGCATTCCTAAAACTCACACCAGAAGTAAAGCATCAGTGGTTCTAATAAAGCCCCACACTCCTTTATAGCCATCACAGTCCTCTGAACCATTTGAACACAGCTCCTGAGGTACTGAAGGCTCTGTAGCCGGACAAAACCGTCTTTACTAAGCTTACTAATATCAGAAGTACAATGGACAAAACTATTTTTGGCATTGTTTGTATTGAGCTGTTTATTTTATTTCCTCCTCCACCTTACACAGCTTTATGTGCTTGTGGTGCAACTGGGGGCCTCAATCAGTCATTTTAGATTCAGTTCACATGCTCATCTGTTTTATGAGTCCAAAGTTGCCTAAAATGCATCAGAAGTGCTTTAGGAATGCTGGCTTTGAAGTCTGGATGTAGTTTGAGTGGCTTTGCCAAGTCTGAGGTTATTGGCAAACTGAATACTTAATGTCAGCACAGAACATTAACCACCTGCAGCTTTGTTTGTTTTGTTCACCAGGGACAAAACAGGCAAACTGGCACTGTCGCCCAAACAGAAAGCCATCTTCTCCCGCTGGGTCCGACCGGACGAGATCTGCAATAACCCCACCATGATCATGTCTGTGTCCAGTTTCAGCATCAAACAGGTGAGGTTAGCAGCTGGAGTCAGTGGATCTGATCTTCTCAACCCTTTTTTAGTTTTTATGATTGGGTTATTTCATAATTATGGTTTCTAATTCTCATATTCTCTGCATTACGCCCCCTCTACCTCCTCATGAGTGCATAGCTGTGCTGCATCTTTCTGTTGCTGATATTTTATGTTCTGTATTCACTGGTTGTAAGAACTTGTTTGAATTTAGCCAGTAGAGGGCAGCATTATCTCAGATAAGGATCTTTATGTTCCAGAAAATAACCTTTGTTACGGATACTGTATAAACATTCAGCCCTCCAAACACAGTTAAATATGTTTATCTGTCATTGTTTTTGTGTAGATGTACGTGTTAATATGTAGGGATACGTTCACAGCATAATGTCATAATGGCAGCTTTATTACTGGTGTACACATATTAAACAGTAATGAATGTGATCCTTCTCTGCTTTTGTCCAGACGGTGGTGTCTGACTGTTCGTTTGTGGCGTCGCTAGCCATCAGTGCGGCCTACGAGAGGCGCTACAACAAGAAACTCATTACCAGGTACTGAGTTTTAACTGGTACCGGTTGCAGGATGAAACATTTAAACTTCACCCATTTCAGATCAAATAAACTAAAATAATCTCTTTTCAATATTCCATATGTTGTTGGAAAAAATATATTGCTGTCACATATTGTCATAAACATTTACAACGTGACAAAACAAAAGTTATTCTTGGCATCAGTTCAGATCATGAAGACAACCAGAGTAGAACTGATCACTTATACAGTACGTTTACAAAAAGTCCTTCATTATAATCATTACATTTGGGACTTTTATTACATATTCAACTAGAAAGGCACTCGGAGAGTGCAGAGCTCCGCCAAGGCCAGTCTTCTATGATATGCAAATCTGGACACCATTCACTTTAGTTATGATGGGTTTGGATGCGAGACGAATTTAGTAAATTACGTCATAGGAAAGTGAAAAATAATTATTGTGTCCGCCCCGTGATTTGGATCTACTCAAAAGTTTTTGAAAATAACGGGGAACTGGCACAGCTCGCTTGATTGGTTTTAATAAGGCACGTACTACTGTATCCCTCCTCCATAATCCACCATGAGGCCAATATTGTCTGCCAGTGCCAAGATTAAAAAACTAAGATTCAACCATGACCGTGTGTTTGTGTGTGTGTGTGTGTTACAGCGTCATCTTCCCTCAGAACAGACGAGGGGAACCAGAGTATAACCCCTGTGGGAAGTACATGGTCAAGCTTCACATCAACGGAGTTCCCAGGAAGGTAAAAGACAAATCACCAGCCGCAGTACGAGACACATAACCTACAGAAGAATATATAGCACCTTTATGAATGCACATTCTGCACATTTAGAGACATTCCTGTTTATGAATGGAAAGAGTAACAGAGAAAAATGATCTCTGTTGCCGTCAACATAGTTCTTCAAGAAGTGAAGGTGAACATGAAGAAGATGAATCAAACAGTGAGAATGAGCTTATTTCACATTTCTCAGTCTGCAAATGTGATCTGTGTGTTGTCATTTAGCTTCAAATGTTTTTTACTTTTAGTTCAAAACGGTTTTCCCTGATTGATTATGGGATTTACTAATAAAAATCTATCTGAATATGCACACATTCATATCCACACATACTGTGTTCACAGACAAACTAATCATGATCTTTTTATCGTCAGTCAAACTCTCTAAACAAAACTAAACTGCAATCTCCTGTCTGTTTCTCTCGCCGCTGCAGGTGATTATAGACGACTACCTGCCGGTGGATCGTAACGGAGAGCTGCTGTGCTCCTACTCCAGCAACAGGAACGAGCTCTGGGTCTCTCTCATAGAGAAGGCCTACATGAAGGTGATGGGAGGCTACGACTTCCCTGGCTCCAACTCGGTGAGGAAACTACTATTAGTACACTATTTTCAACACTTTAAATTAGACAGGCTTAACAAGTCCAGACATTTATAATAAGACACACCTGATCACTTCCAGGTCTTAAAAGCTTTGGAATTTGCACACAATCTATATTTTGTCCAGCCTCTCTCAGCAGACATCGTACTGAATACACACCAAAGTCGGATGTTTGCAGAGAAATGATGTTGTGGCAATATTTGTTCTGCGTTACAGAACATCGATCTGCACGCCCTCACCGGCTGGATCCCCGAACGCATCGCCATGCACTCAGACAATCAGTCATTCAGCAAGGACGACACTTTCCGAATGCTCTTCCAGAGGTGAGCAACACACAAACATACACAGCAAAGTTATTTTGTAGTTTGAAACAAGCACTGTTTTTATTTTCCCTCCGTGTCTGCTTCTCTCTTTCTCTCTCTCTCTCTTTGTTGCCAGGTTTCACAGGGGTGATGTCCTCATCACCACGGCAACAGGGGTGATGACAGAAGAAGAAGGGGAGAAATGGGGTTTAGTGCCAACACACGCCTACGCTGTGCTTGACATCAGGGATTACAAGGTTAGCGTAATTAAACTGGCATTAGCATGTCATCATAAGAATAATGAAAATGTTGATACGAAGCCAAAGTCTGGAACATTGTGGGAGTTCTTGGTAAATTCAGTTGAATTCAATTGAAATGTAATGTTATGAAGTCAACACTACTCATGTATATTTAAACTACAGATGGAGTACACTGTTAATACACTTAAGTTAAATAAAAACATAAAAACATTTGGATGTTGAAGACACCTAGCTAAAGAAATCAGAAACTGCACTGCAATGAATGCAGTACAACCAGTTTGATACTTTTCATGTGGTATTATCAGAATGGCAAATGCGGTGCTGCCTTCCACCGAAATGAAAGCTGTTTTAAAGATGTTGAATTCACAGCCCGATTTAGAGCTCTTCAAAGGTCCACCCAAAAACAGTACGGGTTCGAGTCCACAAAACAAAACTGCAAGGCTCCTTCTAAAGGAGTCGTGTTTGCCATCCGTTACCGTGGCAGCAAGTGGACTTTTAAGCTGAAATAATGAGTGAATTAGCCATGCTGTTGCAATCAGCAAGAGAGGAATGACAGAAAACCGCTTTATTTGACCAACTTTCTTTGCGAGGAGAATGGATTATACATACACGGCCAGGCATGAGGGAGAACTTTTAAATTAACGTCAACTTGTAAATAAGCTCTTATTGGTGTAGTTGTGTCTGTGTCTCTGGGACAGATTCAGGAGATTTCTCAGTTCTGCATGGGTCCGGGTCCACACTTTCAAATAATAGACTGGTCCAGGCTTGGTTCTGGGTCATTACATTTCCTGCCCTTCCATCTGCTGTATCAGTGGTAACTGACACCATGTCTGTGCTGTGTGTTGTTGTAGGGAATGCGTTTCCTGCAGCTGAAGAATCCGTGGAGTCACCTGCGGTGGAAGGGCCGCTACAGCGAGCGCGACGAGAAGAACTGGACACCAGAACTCCTCAAATACCTCAACTTTGAACCCAAGACAGCACAGAAGTTTGACAACGGTATTGCCTTTGTTTTTCTTGAATACAAAATAAAGACAGAAATATTTCTGTCTGAAGTTATTATAGTGACAATTCTCGGAAATGTTCCATTATCAAGTCATCGAAACACATTGATTAAAATGACCAAATACCCTGGAAATAATCTAAATTTAAAATAATAATTTTAATAGCATTTTAGCCCCTCACTCAGATCACTTACGTAAGGAGTAAAATGTGTCAATACTACGCCTACCGGTTTGTGAATTTGTTAAAAGTGATGATTCTGGGCCTCTAAACCAGTACCGTGAAGACTAAAAACTGCACGCTACAATGACTTCTGCAGCTCAGCTTTTATGTCACACTGCAGTGAAAGGATGATATGCAAAAAAAGATATGCCCAAGCCTAGTGGAATATCAATCAAATCATTAAAAAACATTACAAATTCTGGGAAATGTGTCTTATTTATATTCAGTTTCAGTTCCTACTATAGTGTAGCATTACTGTGATGGATGGGTTGCATGTGGAAAAGTAATTACCCACTACCGTAGAGTCCAATTCCCAGCAGCGGTGCTTCTGATGTGGCCAAGTGCTCCATCAAATAATACATGTATTTTCCTCTGTGTTTCTCTCCAGGAGTTTTCTGGATCGCATGGGAGGACCTTTGTCAGTACTATGATGTCATCTACCTGAGCTGGAACCCCGCCCTGTTCAAAGACTCCTCCTGTATTCACAGGTGGGTGTGTTTGTTTGCCAGGTTTTGTTAACATTGAGGTGAAAATGTGTGTTGAATGTAAATAAAGAGTTGGCAAAATAATACTATTTAATAGTATTTTACTATTTTATATATAGAGTATATAAAGTAAAGTGTTGTTCTCTGGTTTGCTTATCGGCTGCAGTAGCTGGGATGGGAAGCAGGGTCCGGTGAAGGACGTCTACAGTCTGGCCAACAATCCCCAGTACAAGCTGGAGGTCCAGTGTCCAGCAGGGGGAGCTGCTGTGTGGGTGCTGCTCACCAGACACATCACTGACAAGGTGACACGCAGCAGGGAGATAATGATAAAGCCATATCATGATGTATTTGTATTTTGTTCACACCGCAGTGCCCGTGCCATATTGTGAGGCTTTACCTTTGTCTAATGACTGTGATCTGTTTGTTTGTTCAGGATGATTTTGCACAAAACAGAGAGTTTATCACCCTTGTTGTTTACAAGACGGATGGGAAGAAGGTTTACTACCCAGGTAAGGTTTGAGAAGGCGTTTTCTTTCTGTGGCACTGAGCTGTGAGGTCTGTACTGTAGATTAGGGGCAGCAGGAGTTTGAAGGCAACACGTTGCCCCCCCCCCCCC